CAGATGGTTGTGAGCCACCATGTGGTTGTCAGGAATTGAACTCAGGACCTTTGGAAGAGCAGGCAATGCTCTTAACCACTGAGCCATCTCTCCAGCCCTGGAAATCACCTCTTCAATTTACCGACCAATATATCCTCTGGTGAAGAATCTGAACCATTGAGTTCACATTCAGATTCTTATTTTCAGTGAAGCCATGAGCTGCAGCTCAGCTCAGTGCAGCATGGAGCTGACAGGATGGAGATGTCCCCTCCAGTTTATTGATAAGAAAGGTTGTCTGGGGAAGGGAACACAGGACGGTGTAGTGACAGGATCCTGGTGTGCTCGACTGAGCTGGGCTCCCCAGTTCTTCATGTTGAGCCCATAGGATCACACTTCAGAGACTGTTGCCTAAGGAGAATGGAGGAGCTCTGGACATCACTGTAGAGATCTTAACACATCGTCTGTCACTTCATCAGGCCAGGCAGCTGTCTTCACACTACAGAACAAGAGTCATGAACAATCACTGTGAAGACAGCATCCCAGCAACCCACCACTCACTCACGGGTCTGAATTCTCAGAGTCCCTGTAAAACATTCATGTCCCCTTTGTCCCTCCCCCACTTTATCTTCAGGAGGTCTTCTGCACAGTCTGTGAGAGACACATCAGAGCTGTCCTTGCGCAGGGTAAAAAATTAACAATACATATTGAAGCTTCAAGAAGGTTTACCTGAGGAGGAAGTAAGATCTAACTGAGCTCCCCACCAGCTCCTGCTCCACCTGAAGGCCTCATGGACAAGCCTTCTCCTATCTTACCAGGAGCCTGAGCATGGCAGTCAGTGGTTCTGCCTGTGAGAAATAAAGCTATGAGACAGGGAAGCTCTGGACCCCAGAAATCCAGAGCTGACAGCAGAGCGGGGGAGGGTCAGGAGAAAGGAGGAAACAGGTGTGCAGGAATGAACCAATTTCCAGCCTGTGAGTCCTCAGCAGAGACCTTCTCCTCTGACCTCTGAGCACTGAGGACCAGGTCCCCATCACTTCCACCATCAGGGTTATGAATCTGTCCTTCATCTCTCCTGTGCTTTAGAGTAAAACAATTATCAGTACACAGACCCTTGAGATGGGCATGGGGTGTGTGTGTGTTCCCATTCTCTATGCACCCTTCTTGAAGGTTCTGCATGAAAAAACAACAATAAAAAAACACAACACGGCCTCTCCATACCTGTGTTCTTCCTCATCCCCATCATCACACCTCCCATGTTAGAAGCTAAGAGCTTGACTCCAAGGAGAGCACCAATAATGGTCCTGATGGGGATGGCAGACTAAGGAGACTCAAGCAAGGAAAGGGAAAGGAAGGGAAGGGTCTTGACCCAGCTCCCAGCCCTCACCCTACCTTTTGCAAAAGGCATATGCTTACCCTGACCTCAGATCTGCACCCACACCCTCCTTATCCCTTCTCAGTGATAGGGGCTCAGGCAGCCCCTTATGCTGCCCATGGCATGTGTATCTCTGCCGCTCCTCAGAAGGCACCACCACAGCTGCCCACTTCTGGAAGGTTCCATCCCCTGAAGGTCTGGTCTCCACCAGCTCCATGTCCTATAATTGCTCCTCCTCATCCTTCTTCCAGGTCAGAGTGGTATCAGCAGGGTAGAATCATAGGGCCCAGCATCTTAGGATGATGTCATATTGAGATCTGGGGTGATTTGTCACATGTGTCTCGGGAAGGGTTGGGGGACGGGATCTGAGGGTAAGAGTTGGAAAGTTCAGGTGTTTTTCATTCTTCCTGGGGACTCCAGTAGTGCCCATGAGCCCCCCCTGGGAAGGGTCAGAAATGGGGTGATGGAGGGTTGAAAATCTCCCAGCACCATTTCATAGGATCCTAGATACTCTTTCATTATCAAGTTCTAGAATCAGGGTGAAAGATCCCAGGGTATCAAATTCTAGGTGTCACATCAGGAAAAAGGGATCTCTGCTCCAAACTGGGTGGGGGCTGAGAAATTCAGCATCATGCAGACAGACTCCAATGACTGAGTGTGTGTACAGAACTGAGCCTGAGAGAGGCCATGGTACTCAGTTGGCTGCAGAATGAAGGAACTGGGCTTGTTTCAGAGATCCTCTCTCCTCCCACACTAAGACTCTGAACTGTCCTGAGAGGAAGAGAAGAATGGGACAGCCATTCTTTAGTCAGGAATCCCATGTGCCTGGGCTCTATGGCACATGTCCTTAATACCAGCTGAGGCAGGAGGATATCATAGTTTGAGCCCATAATGGTCTACATAGAGACTTACAGAACATCCAAGACTACACAGAGACTCCATCAAAAACAATACAAAAGAAGCAAACAAAATACAAAAAAAGCAATCCAGGAACGCTCTCCATGTTTTATATGCAAGAGACCAGGATGGTGCAACATTATATCAAATGGAGAGAAACTGACATGGTGTTTGAAGACTCAGCTATTACAATCAGACAAGAGAAAGGCAGAAAAGGGAACAAAACAGGAAAGGAAGAAGTCAAACTATTCTTATTTCCAGACTACAGAATTCTTTTCTTAAACAACCCGGTAATTTAGTTGAAAACTTTTGGACCAAAATAACACTTATGGTTGTGAGACACAAAATCAATATTAAAAAGTAGGCTTCATTTATATCAACACTGTACTTTCAAAAAAATTAGGAAATGTACAACATTCAAACTAATTCCATTACAATTAAGTGTTTAAGGATACATAGTAACCAAAGAAATGGAAGAACTCTATAATGAAATCTTTAAGATACTGACACAGGAAGTCATAGAAGATAATGTTAGAAGATGGAAACACAGTTCATGCTCCTGAACTGGCAGAGTTAACATTGTGAAAATGGCCAAAATTAATCTACAGATTTAATTTAACATTATACAATTCTGATATATTTTACATTTCTAGAGAAAAATACAAGAAATCATATGGAATCGTCAACAAATAGCCAAACTCTCTTAAGGATTAGGAACACTGCTGGAGGTCTCACAATTCCAACCTCAAGTTATACTGCAGAGCTATAGGGACAAAGGTGGCCTGGGACTGACATGAAGTAGGAAAATCAAAGGAACAGAGCAGAGTTCCTAGAGACAGAGTGACAAAACTGTGCTACTTAGTTTAGACAAAGAATCTAAAACACTGGGGAAAAATCCCATCTGGATACAATGCTGCACACTGGGCTTCTACCTCAGATGAGCTGATAGTTTCATTTTTCTTTTGTTTCTTCTTTTCTTTTTCTTGTTTCCTCTTTCTCCCTCTTTGAAACAGTGTTCTCTAGATAATCTGGCTGTCCTGGAACTCAGTAGACCAGGCTGGCCTCGAAGACAGAGATCCCCCTTTCTCTGACCTCTAGGTTCTGGTCTTAAAGGTTTGCATCATCTTTTTAACCTTCTACAAAGATGAACTCAAATGGAGCAAAGACTTTAAGTTCAGACCTTGAAACACCCAAACTTCAAGAAGACAGCCTAGGGGAAGCCCTTCCAGATACTGGGGTAAGCAAGAACTTAGGATAGAACAGCAATACCACAGGAACAATACCACAGGCCACGCATCAGCATGATAACAAAGTCTCTCCACAGCATAGGACACAATCAGCAGAGGGAACAGAAGCAACAACAGGAGGAAACCTGCCAACAAGGGACTCGAGTCCTCAATTTAGAAAGAACTTCAGAAACTAAATACCAAGGCACTCACTAATAAACAAATGGGTGCGGGGACTGAATAGACAGTTATCTTAGAGAAGAAAAAGACTACACACCATGCATGGTGGCGCACGCCTTTAAAGCCAGCACTCTGGAGGCAGAGGCAGATGGAGCTCTATGAGCTCAGGAGACCATCCTTGTCTCTTGTCTACAGAGTGATTTCCAGGGCTACACAAAGAAACCCCGCAAAAAAAAAAAAAAAAAAAAAAAAAAAAAAAAAAAAAAAAAAAAAAAAAAAAAAA